AACCGACTGGCTAAGCTGCTTCTAGCGCCGAGGTGGTTAAAATGGTACGGTCCACACTAGGGGTGTCTGAAATAGTTTTAAATAAAAATTTTCCTACAAGTTGAGCTTATTTTTCTTTTTTAAAAAAAAAAAAAAAGAAAAATGTTAAGACCCCCCAAACTGCTATTTTTGTCTATTTGGGGGGTCTTGGTCTTGATCGGGGGGTACTGTACCCCCAGTACCCTCCGTAATTCGAACCATGATCTTACGAGTCATTATGATTTTGACGAGAGAGATTGCTGCTTCCTCTAAACCTCCCGCAATCGCGCAGCTCATTTCGCTCTGCCGGGTCTGCCCTGCCTACTGAGAAACTGGCTCATTTGCATACTAACAGTGATTGGATGTTTAGCTGGGGGGAGGGTGAGTGGGGGATCTCGGCCGAGTGCTGTGTGAGCGCGCGCACAAACAGAACGCGGAGGGAAAGAGCGAACAAGAAGCGAAACTTATCATCTCGTTTGTGCCTTTTCAGTGGATTTTTCAGCTACTGTAGTAAATCTTGTCCATATTCAGTTTGTGGGTAATCTATTATTTTCTTCCTCAACTTCTAAAAGTTTGATTTAAGGGGGCAGGACGTTTGTTTAAGGGGGCGTTGCCCCCTCTTGCCCCAGCGTAGAGCCGGCCCCGCTTCAAACTGGTAAATATTGGTATATAACTATTTACATACACACACTTATATATACGTATATATACTTCGCCTAGTTTGACTTTGAGTATAAGGTGCTAATAAATTTTTGTGGTAAAATATTCACCCTCTATTTCATTCGAAAAGAATTTCCTCCGGGAGCAATAAAGAATCTTGCCAATCCCGCAAAACCCTCTTTATGAAATTCTCTTCTTATAATTTGCGCACCGATATCAATTGGTCGCTCATTCATGAATGGCGAGGCCATGTTGATTGGATTTCAACGCACGGACACTGATTACGTGTGCGAGCTAATCCTTGTTTACATAGAACAAACCTGCTTCGAACAGGGGGGTATTCCAGAAAGCTTGGTTAACTTACCATTTGGTAAATCTTAACCTCTGGGTTGATATACCCCAAACCCGCATACCATGAGTATGTCGGTTCCAAAACACCTGAGAAGAGTAAGTTCAATCAACCTCCTATTGGTTACCCAGAGTTAATGCGCGTGCACCGTGCATAAATAAAGACGTTTTCAATTGATCGCCGATTTCACGAGTCAGAATGGAAAATCAAAGTGAAAAAAAGAGAGCGGCATACTTCACAGAGGCGGAGTTGGAAGTTTTAATGCACACATACTGTATGAGGAATTCAAG